GAGAGTTGAAAGAGCTATAAAACGCTGGCTAAGCTTTTCTCTTCGTTTCTTTCTGCCATAACATGATCTTGAGCATGCAGGGGACTCCTAGTCCCCAAGCCAACTCTCTTCCCAGCTCCCTGCGCATTTTTTGTTGAAAGGAATTGCTCCTCAAGGCACCCATTTGCTCTGATAGAAGAAAAGCTCACGTTCATGTTGCCATTGCTGTCCCCGGCCAGTTCAGTTTTAGGTTTCACGCCGCGGTGATCCATGCCGTGCTGAGAAATGGCCGCCAGAGACGAGTTGGAGTTCTCGAAAGAGATGATCTGTGAACAGGAAGAAGAAGAAGCCTTGGGGACGATGATGTTGTTTTGCTGATACTCAGTAGTGGTAGTGAAAGAGTTCCAGCTGTTGGTTTTGAGCTGCTTTGCTGGCCTCTGGTCGACGACTACACCGCCAGCGCCGGTTTGGTAAGTTTCAAGAGGGGAAGCATTATTGTCACTCATGTTTTGGTTGTAAGATGAGTAGCTCTCCGATGAGAAAGATTGAAAGTTGAGTTCGTCGAGTGAGTACTCAGCTGGGTTTATTTGGTATTCGAAGAAATTACCAGTAGAATCCTCCATGAATCCCTGCAAAAAGAAAAAAACATACAATTAAATACCATATTACTAGCTAAGTACCATAACGGTATATACTTACTTAACCTGTGTTATATTGGTAAATCGCATCAGTCTTACCGTTTCAGATACCCATTTAGCTTGTAAGATTTCCATTGCCAATCAAGCTTTTATCTACAATATCTATAATCTTAAGATGGCCCTGCGAAAAAAAAAAAAAAAAAAGCTTCAAAATCTCAGCTTTCTTTACTGAAAATCGCAGAGAAGTGAAATCCCATGTGAAATTTTTTTATATTATATTATAAAGAGGAACAAATTTCCTTGAAGAAAAAGAGAAAATGAATCTGGGTAGACGAAAGCAAAGAGTCAAGATCTACACAAACAAGCCAAAGCTTAAAACTTTTTTGGGTTTAAAGCAAAAGAAAACATCCATTAAATGGTTTATAAACGAAAAATAAATGGAAAAAAAACGAATTTTATCAAGAAAATTTGGTGAGATAATAATGCTCGACCTTGAATTGACATAATTTCATAGGAAATAAAAAGATTTATTAGTGATGTTCAATAATTAGAGATAAATTTTACCTTCAAAATCGCAGAGACCAAACACGACTTAAATCGCGAAGAAACTTTTAAACAAGAAAGAAGAAAGGTGTCTCCTTTCCCCACAGATTCCGCCAGGAAGAAGATAGTCTTTCCGTGCTTTTATATTCAAAACACTGTCGTATTCTACGCGCTTGACGCCGTAATTTAGCACGTGTGAATATGTATTCCCATTACCCAGTATATCCCCCATTTCTTTCTTGGCGTTCTCACTCTCTTCGTTAGTGGGCCCCATTCTTATTTGTCATCCAACTAGATATTGCCATTCAGCTCTCGGATTAGGGAGACCCCATGTTACGCGGAGGGCCTATATAAAAAATATTTTGATCATTCAAAAAACATTAGTAAATTTTTTATTAATATACATATATATATATATATACACACAAGAATATAACTGTATTTTCTGTAATTACAAAAAGAATATAATTTAATTAAAATTGATTATTCAAAAGAAAAACTAATATTGATAATTTAAATTTACATTCAATTTAAAATTTTAATGACAATTTTTATTAAAGATAGTAATAAGTTTTGTACTAAAAAATTTAAATAAAATTGAAACAAACCATTTCAAATTTCATGTAAATTTTTTAAAATAGAAAAAGTTGTATTAAATTTTTAATCTGTTGTGTTTATTTCAATTAAAGAAATCTAACATCTATCATATGTTCGTTTTACCTAAATACGTAATAAACTTACTGAAATTTAATAAAACTTGATCGTTGCAATTTTAATCAATACATTAGTACATTTAATAATATTTTTTATTGAATTAAAATATTATAAATCTGTCAATATCAACATATAATATATACATAAATTTTAATAAGTTTAAAATTCGTAATTTTTAAATAAGATACGAGAGTTTTAACAATCCAACAACAACGTGTTGGTATATTCATGTAAATTAATAATTGTTAATTATATCATTATATGGATAATACTATTTGATTTAATAAAAATGTAAAAGTCTAGAATCTTAAAGAAAATAAATTTATAATTTAATTGCGGAAGCGAATAATAGAGTTACGGTTTAAATTTTTTACACAATAATTTAGAATGTCTAGTAGGGTTAAGAGAATGTCTCTTCTACAAGTCAAACGGTAATTAAAAAAAAAAGTGAACAAATAAGCATCATAAGACAACATTCACTGGTACTTGAAGGGAGTCCACGTGGTGAACTACTCACAATCCTCTTATTGATCAGGATCTGAATCCTCATCTTCTTGATATG